GTCTTTAAGTTTTGTTAAACTGTATTCAAAACTTTAATTTTCTAGTTAAAAAGACAGTTCTATGAATTTGTTTGAATTTAAGTTCATTTTAATTCTAAAATTGCTTCCTCAATTCTGATTCATTATAAATACAGAGAATTAATTGGAATTTAAAAGGTATTTACTTTACAGTGCGATGCATTTACAAATTTTTGTGTTGTAAATTATACCGTAACTGATTAAATTTCAAAATTAAAAGCCCGCTTTGCATTTGTTATATCTTTTATATTAAACGTTTCTGTCCCTGTATCTGACCATGGCATTGATTGTGTCTAGCATTAGTTCTAGGTAGTTTAAGCCTTATAGTAATAAAACGACATGTTTTTTAACACACTTCTACAGCTCTATAATGGATTTGTACATCCTCAACATCGACGATGAGAAGTGCCATATAAGGTTAATCTTTCGCTTTGTGGTGTCACTCGGAGCGGGTCAGAAGGTCATGGTCGTGTCTCTTTTACATGCAGAGAGCCTCAAAAAGCGGAGGAGGACTCGTGTTAATGGAGCTGAACCATTATGTAGCCAATAGTGTCAGGGCTGTTACATGGGCCTGTGCTTACACAGCAGATGGGTTCAATTCAATCGGTGCTTCAAACACAACATAATGAAAAGTTCAGGAGGGTTTCTCACCATTTGTGTTTGTTTGCAAAGGTGTTGATTGAACTCATTTAAAAGCAGCTTTGTAGCGCTGTTGAGAGGTCACATCCTCCATATCTATGGTTTAGTCTTAAGACAAGACCTCGGGTGAACTCACCTCCTCTCTTCTTTTGATCTGTTCAAATGGGTAATGCTAAAGCTCACTTTTTTCGATTCAGCCTGAGACTCGAAGGACTAGGATGAGCACTACAGGATTCTTCAGTCTTGTAAAAGCGCTTTTTATTTAATATATTTACTCTCAGAACTGGTATTGATCCTTTAAATATAACATTACCCTCATCTCGTCGTCCTTGGTATGTTGACCTCAGGTAGTGATTGCCTACTACAATACTTGGCAATACTCAAGCAGAGAAGACTTATTGAAATTCTTGGAAGCTATCAGACAATCTGCTTTATGTCTTGGCTTTTGATAATTAGGTTCAGGCACTCGGGAACAGTCAGTGCGGTGGAAAAACTTGTAAAACTCTTCTCAAAGTGCTGCTGTGGCATTATATGCATTTAAGCTTGTTATTTTGTTTATTAAGATTCAATTCGAGTTTATTTGTATTATTTACGATACAAATCGTTGCAAAGCAACTTTACAGAAAATGAAGTTTCTACAATATTTAGTAGCTTATCAGTGGTGACTGTCAGTTTATGTACATATGGCAGAAATGTACGGAAAAATCAATTAAAGACGTAATCAAACAGACGATGAACACTATTAACAGCAATTATTATATGATGCAATCAAACTTATAGCAAAGTTTGGTAGTTCTGTATGTTGTTTCAGGGTTGGCATCATCTGAGGGGTTTGCATCATCTCTTCTCAGGTGTTCTGGATCCAGACTGAAGATTGTGATTAAGATCATTGTTTGTGTGCATAGCAAGTATTCTCAGCACATATCAATTTTTAAATATCCAATTAGTTAATTGGATTCTAATTAGCAGTTTTAATACACTGAAAATGATTACTATCCAATCAAGATGACTTGTTTGTGAGATACTATTTCAAGAATGCTGTAACTATCAGCATTATAATTGATCGATTCTTTTAAAGAGAGAGTTCATGCAGAAATGAAAATCCCATCAGCATTTATTCACCCTCATGTTGTTCCCAACCTGTAAGAAGATCATTTGAAAAAATTCTGTTTTTTCATGTACACTGGAAAAAAAATAGTAGTAGAAAAACTGAAATAGTAAATTCTTTCTGTAGGCTGCAGATGTTTTTTTGTGTTAGCAAGATGTTTAACCTCGCTAACTAAAAACAGTTTTAAAAGTTTTTTTGTGTGTTGTTTGATTTATTTTTTTTGTGTTGTTTGAACAGAAATAGTATTTCCTTTTTATTTTATATTTCATATTTCATTTCCAAACAGCAAGTATCACATCAAATTAAACGTGAAAGTAGAAATGCTGAAATAGTATTTCCTTTTGTGTGCTAACTAAAAACAGCCAAAGTTATTGTTGTTTTTTTATATTTGTTTTATTTTATATAAGTTTTTCAGATAACAAATCCAGAATCTTTTTATTTTTTATTTATTTGTTTATAAAAAAAATTAATAAATGGCAATTAACAAATTTAATTAAACATACAATTTCGAAGTACAAAAACTGAAATAGTATTTTCTTGTTAAACATACCATTAATCTTTGTTTTATTTACAACCAAAATAATTTTACAGCATATATGATGTCAAGTGGGGTCCAAGATTGGATTGATATGATAACAGACCTTTCATTCATGCATTCATTAATGCATGAACTCCATGCAATCAAAGCCAAAGTCACGTGACTCCCATGGCACCTCAGAAAAAGCCACATTCTTCATACAATCCCAATGTACTGTGAACACAATATGCATTTTGTTATCATTTGTGTTATAATTTAATTGCAGAAGTTGGCGACATCTTGGGGCCTTCAGAGCCGATGTGCTCATACGTCTGCAGCTATTAAAGAGCAGTAATTATGCAACAGCCAACGCAGTGTTCAATAACCCATGCAGGAGCCTGACAGTGGCTGTTGTCCCTTAATTAGGAATTTGAATCCTTAATGCACATATATAAAGACAAATAATTAGACAGATATTTCCTCCTCATCCTCTCCTGCACTGACATGTGCATGTAACTACTGGGTGACCCGACATATCTGCAGCGGTGGGGGGGTGGAGGAAGAGAATGAAAACATGAAGCTTGTTTCATCTGTATATTACAAAGGAATTAGCGCAGCAAGGCGTCCATGCCGGTAACTAGGCCAGCGACACTTTCTAGCGCTCCTCTTCATTAGAATATCTGAACTGTTATAAATACGGTTCAGATTACGTTATTGTCTTGTTATCTTCTCTTTGCTTTGCGCACTAATGAGTGGGACAGGGTAGCTAAACGAGCGAGTTCCGTTTACATTATTTGGAATGTGCTTTAATAATGCTCATTAGGCCGTTCCCTTTTTTGTTACTGCGCCGCTTTAATTAGATTTCTTGCCCCCCACGCCCCTAATAAGGGCATTCGTGGCTGATAATGCCTGTAATGTATTTGTTACTACAAGATGAGACAAGAAGAAAAAGAAGTAAGATTATTTCTCTCTTTAAGTGCCTTTTATTAGAAGGAGGCTTAATTGGGGCTTGTTGTTTGGTTTCCTCTTTTCTTTCATTTCTAATGAGTAATACGCTACTGCTCTAGTTTTTCCTTTGTTCAGAAAGCCTGTTTAGTTAGGTTTCATTTAGGCTGTTTGTAGGCCACAGAGTTTTTTTTTGTTTGTTTTTTATTATTTATTATATATATATATTATTTTTTTTTATTTTTTTTTTTTTTGTTGTTGTTTCTTTTGTTTCATTTTCTAAATGATGCCTAGATTTTTCCAAACCCAAGTATTAAAAGTTTTTGTATTATTATTATTATGATTGCTCCTAGTGATTGTTGTGAGAGTTTCACTGCCCTGGCACCCATATGTCTGCTTGAACCGATGTGTTCGGGTCTTGACCTGATAGAAGGAGCAGTGAGAACAAAGAATGAGACACTCGCAGACAGAAATCAATGGCAGTTGTCAATGAAGTCCAAGGTCATCGTGCACCCCTGGACCAACAGATTAAGGGAGCACCCATTTGGCAAAAGTACTTTTTAGGTTGAGATGTAACGTTTGACATCTCCTCCTCAGTAGTGATGGATCTCTTCTGAGGTTTTTCAGGTTTCATGTTACTTTTAGCCAGGTAATAGTGGTGTATTTTCAGCCGATATTAGCTGTGTTTTTATGAAACCGCATTTCAATCATGACAACTCTGGGAACATTTTAGCATGGTGATGGATATGACAATGTTAATGTATTTGGTCTTGGCGGAACAGATCTGCTACGCTGCTGCTGTTGGTTATTGCTGTAGTTGTAGATTATTGCTGCTGCTGCAAGTAAGTACAGGAACTTGCTACTGCCAATGCATATGGCGATATGGTGCCATGAGTATTTAAGACATACTGCTGCTGCACAGATAGCATATAAAATAACCCCGTAGCAGATCTATACAGGTGGAGCTGGGGAAGGTGGAGGGTTTCAGAGAACTCTGAAAGCGTGCTACAGGAATCTCAAGTGAATGCTAGCCAGCCATATAAATGCAAGGCAGTAAGTTCATTGGCTGCATATGCAGCATGAACCAATCAGCTTGTGCCAAGTCGTTTAACTCTCTGAATATCATCAGTTACGTTAACACCCTGTCAGAATGCGCCATCTAGAGTTTCATGACTGAATTATATATTTATTTAAAGTGATGGTTCAAAAATTATGATGAAAGGTCTGTCATCATTTACTCACCCTCACTTTGTTTCCTGAATTTGTTTCCTGAACCTGTATTGCTGTCTTTCTTCTGTGAAACATAAAAGCTAATTTGAGAAATGTCTCAGTATTTATTTATTTATTTTTTCATACAATGGAAGTCAATGGTAACCAAAGTAGTTTGTAAATGATGACAGAATTTTTAAAGATCTTTAATATATTTTATAAGAACAGGGATCTAAAATGTAATCGGTTGAGGACATTTAATACTTGCATACGGCAAAATTATCATAAATAATAATTGAATAAATGAGCATGCACATGCTGGGATTTTTCAGCTTCAGCTTTTAATATGGGAAGCTTTGCAGGATATCCCACAAGCCCTGCTGTGAATAAATACACATCCTGTACACAAACTGACTGTTTTGCCTGAAAAGGTTTATCAAATCACCTCTAAACTCTTGAGAGGGAGGGAGGGCCGAAAAGGAGGGGCCAGAAGGCCCCATATCAGACATTCCCTCCTCTCTCTCTCTTTGGCCTAGTAGTCGCAACCCTCTTAAAATCTCGCGTCAGAAGTGGAGTTTAAAGGATGTGCTCCTCCACCCCCCTCTGTGGTTGTCACGGGTGATGGGTGCCATGGGTGTCTTGGCAGCTGCCACCACTGTTTACATAATTTCAACATGGCCGCAGGGAAAAAGAGACTATGGCTGCAACGATCTTCACTTCACACTCCTCCAATTAGAAAAGCCCCTGCTCCGCCGCTTAGCACGGCTCTCAGGGAACAGGAATATTCGTGCTTAACTTTTCAGCCCGCGGGGATCGGCAGGCTGAGTCACCAAAGAAAGATGCCACAGTGGAGGTGAGAGGATGTTTAAGACAGACTAAAAATGCCCCAGTTTATCTGACAACATCTAAAATGGTGGACTTGACGTGGAATTTGGTGCCAGAAATGTGGAGAATATTTTGTGAGCATTGAAATGTTTTATTGTTAAGAATTTTTGGTTGAAGTAATACTGTATCCAAATGTAATATCTTTTCTCCAAAACGGCTTCCCTTTTTCAGTGACATCATCTAGGCCACACTGGCCATTGGATAATGTTTACCAGTACACACATTTTTCATGATAAAATCAATTCCCTAGAGAAGATGTAGTCCTGCCATCATTTTATTTATTCTTTTGTTAAATACAGGGATGCATGATACATACAAGTTATTTACTTTTTCTTTTTGTTGTATTATCCATATAGTAGATATGTAACGGCCAATACTGGATTTTTAATTTCTGCTTTTTTTTATTTTTTATTATCTAATGGTCACTTAAAGTAAACAATTTAATGACACTGTTAAATGTAATCTTTAATATTTTGCATTATGTCTAGTGTTTTATTTGTATTTTTACTTGTTTATTTTGACATTGTATTATTATGTTTAAGATGGCGCCGACGCTGATGGCTGCCTCCGTGGCGTGCTCTGCAGTTGTTTTTATGTTTTTGTTAGTTTGTCCTGTCTTTAGTTATATCCCTGCAATCAGTTTCACCAGAGACGAATTGCTGGACATTCGGAAGTACACACCACCCGATATTTCACCGGTTTTCGATTATTCGGATGTTTTGCTGGACATTGTTGTCGGGGGAGCTGTGGCG